ATATATATATATATATACATATATATATATATATATATATATATATATACATATATAAATATATATATATATATATATATATATATATATATATATATATATATATATATATACATATATATATATATATATACATATATATATATATATATATATATATATATATATATATATATATATATATATATATACAGGCCTCGGCAGGAACAAATGAGCACGAGAGCTGAGAAAAGCTCTCCTAAAACGAATTTAGGGAGCTGTGCGAGCTGCTCCTCATTTAAATTAGCACTCTTTTGTAATTTTAATTATACCTTCATGAGAAAAATTATAATTTTGCGAGAGTCGTAAATTGCTCCTGTAAACTGTTTTAGGGGAGTGTGGGCGAGAGCGAGAGCGAAAGCTCTCGCTTCCCGCCGAGGCCTGTATATAAATATATATATATATATATATATATATATATATATATATATATATATATATATATCAAGGCTATGGAGTCGGAGTTGTGGAGTTGCGGAGTTGCGACAATTTTACCGGAGTCGGAGTTGCTAAAAAATATTGTGACTCCGACTCCAATAGTAAAATTTCTTGTTATTGCACGTGCATGTACAAAACATTCAATTAACCTTATGTTCATACTAAACCTCAAAGAATGTTTCATAAATTTGTCAAAAAAAAAATTTCAACTTACTGAGGAATATTTTTTAAAGAATTCAAAGAATTTTTTACAAATTTTGCTTTGGAGTTTAAGTCAGAGTTGTACTCAAAAATTTCAACAACTGGAGTCAGAGTCGTTACTTTTTTTGTATGACTCCACACCCCTGATATATATATATATATATATATATATATATATATATATATATATATATATATATATATATATATATATATATATTATATATATATATATCAGGCTTGGTCAGGAAGTGGGAGCGATCGCTCTCTATTGCTGACCACATAGATAATATTTAGTTGCGAAAAGCTGGCCAGATTTTTTAGTTGTTTTAAGAACATTTTAAAAAGCCAAAAAAAAAAAAAAAAAAAAAAGATTAATTGGACCGATGAGAGACAATTACAAAAAAAAAAAAAAATAGGCAAATAAAATATCTTTTAACGCGAAAAAACTTAAAGCTAAATAAATTACATTTAAAACAAATATTTTCGAAACATCGCTCTTTTATAATTTTTTTATAAAATTAACAACTTACGATTGTTTAAAAGAGAAATAAATATCCTTTATTTAACTAAGTTTGCAAGTTTTAGTTTGACTTGAGCTAAATTGTTTAATAAATAAAAAAGTAAATTTTTTTAATACCTATTTTATGTTTTGCGTAGTTTGAAAAGTTTAACATATTTGAAGCGATTCTTCTTAGTAAGATAAACAAATGAAATAATTAAATCATTGAATTGCTATAGGAATTAAATTATCAAGATAGATATCAACTAAAAAGGTTAAAAATACTTAATGACCAGGAAGCGAAACTGCTTCACAATATCGCTGATAATGTTTAGTGAGTGGGCTTTTTAATTTTAATTAGTATTTAAAGCAGAAAAAAGTAAAACAAGTTTTAAGAATGGCAACTTAAGCAAAAATAATTAGAGTTAGTAAACCAATCTAGAAACTTTTTTTTTATCTAATTATTTGCTATATATATTTGTGTTCTGTCGTGACCTCAGGCGCGATGCTTGTTCATCCGCGAGTTACTTTGTATGCGTTGTTTGTGTTTTCTAACTAGAAACTTCTTATATGTTTGTTACATAATTAGTTTTATTAACTTTAACGATTATAACTGCAATTATTTTTGTAAGTCTTTATTTAAATCATAAAAATTGCTTTAAAAGATACATTACGATAAAAAACATATACACAAAACTACATTTACATAAAGATTACATACTTTTTAAATAAAAAATAAGAACATACTAATAAAATCTATAATTTATAATAAACTTTTAAAATTTTAACAATTTAATTAATATAAATTTAAAACATTTATTTTTGTAAACAAATAATATATATTCTTAAAACAATTCTAGAAATCTCAAAACGTTACAAATCGTGATTAATACAAATTCTAAAACATTTCAACAGAATACTCTAGAACTTTATTTCGCTTAATCAGCGTATTTTTTGAACCAATAGAATTAGTTTGTTCGTTAATTTGGCGGGTTTTTAGTGCTCGCAAATATTCTTTTTATTCTTGCGCACAATGATGTTTTGGGAACATTCAAGTTTTTTATGTTTCCATGTATGTCCGTAAAACAAAAATATTTTGTTTCATAAATAAACTTAAATGTTCTCAAAACGACTAAAAAACCTGGCCAGTTTTACGCAACAATATATATATATATATATATATATATATATATATATATATATATATATATATATATATATATATATATATATATATATAGAATAGAAACCGAAATATATATATATATATAATAGAATAGAAACCGAAATAATTATCGATACTGTTTTTAAAAATGTTCAAATTATCTTTATCTAATATCCATTGTGGAAGAGAATTCCAATCATAACATTTATAACTCTGTTTGTAAAGAAATGGTGATGAATTCTTGATTTTGTAAATTGTCTGCGTATTCTACAATTGTTACTTCTACTAGATCGCTCCAGCTCAAAATTTAAAGGAGGGTGGTGAAAATTAACAATATCTATCAAACAAAGTTGGCAATTCAAGTATCTTTAATCTTTCTTCATACGACTTCCCCCTTAAAGATTCAATTCTCGTAGCCCTGTGTTGCATGATTTTAAGATTGTCAATGTCCTTTTTCCAAAATGGACTCCAAACTGTTGCTCCATATTCCAAATGGGGACATACTAACGATTTGTATAGTAACTTTAATGAAAGTTCATCCAAACACTCAAAAGAGTTTTTGATCATGCCTAATTTTCTGTTTGCTTTACCTATAGCTGAATTAATATGATATTTCCACTCAAGATTATTTGAAATGAAAATCCCAAGATCATTTTCTATCATTGTTTCTGTTAAAACAGAGTTGTTTAATTTATATTCATATCTTGGATTCTTTTTGCCAATATACATGACTTTACATTTTGATTCATTAAATGTAATTAACCAATCTTCAGACCATTTAACTAACCTGTTAATATCCTCTTGTAATATTTTATTATCATCATAACAATGATTGATTGAAATAACTTTGTTATCGTCTGCATATAATTTAGTGTCTTATATATATATATATATATATATATATATATATATATATATATATATATATATATATATATATATATATATATATATATATATATATATATAATATAAATATATCTATATAAATATATATACACATATATATACGCATATATATATATATATATATATATATATATATATATATATTATATATATATATATATATATATATATATGTATATATATATATATGTATATATATATATATATATCAGGCTTTCACAGGAAGACGTGCGATTTCATGTCTTTATATGACCACGCAACTTACATTTTGCTATGACGATTTGACAGCGGCTAATTCAAAAAACATTTTAGAAACGCGCTAAATAAAAATATTCTAAAAAAGTGAAATTAATTACATCAAAACTTCTTAACAAATGTTTTTATATTAGCAAAACGATTTTAAATAAAGTAACAATTTACTGAAAAAAAATTTTGTCTTTTAAATATTATTGACAGTTGTATATATATTTTTAATTTAAAACATATAAATTGTTTAAGTGTTCATTTCTAAAATTATTCTTATTAAAAAATAAAAAATTGTTTTGTTTTTATAAACGATTACATTCTACAACTACGAAAGTCTCTTTAACGAATTTAAATATAAGAATGATTAAAGTTAATGCATTTAAAAAGATAAACAAAATTTTGTTAAAAAAAAAAAGTTTTAGAAAACCGTTACAGTTTAATAAGTTTGATCTTGAATGCTTTTATATTATCGAAACGCTTTTAATGAAGTAAAAAAAAAAAAACACTTCTAATTAATTTAAAAAAAAGTATTTTAAAATGTTTTTTTATTTTATTTTTATAATTATGTATTTTTTATAAGAAATATTTAACTTTTGAACATATTAAACAAATAAAAAATATATAAAAAAGTTGAAACAAAGATTGAAAATGTTTTTTAATACGTAAATTATATAGACTAAGCATTTTAGTTTGATGAGTTTTGTTTTAGTTGCGTTATATATATATATTTATTTTTTTGTGTTTTTGCTTTAACTAAGTTTTTTTTTATTTTTTCTTTTGTTAATACTTACTATTTTTTTAAATTTTTTTTTCAGATAAGTTTAGGTAAGTTTTTATAGCGCGTTTTTAAATTTTAAAAATATGCCGTGGTCAAATCGTTAAAACATTTTTTTTTTTGCGTGGTCATATGAAGACATGAAATCGCACGTCTTCCTGTGAAATATATATATATATATATATATATATATATATATATATATATATATATATATATATATATATATATATATATAGTCAGCAAAATTCAGGTCAGCATTTGGCAATGCCCACCTATCTTTGCTTAGAACAGCATACAACTGCTGATCTGAATATCCTAATGTGTTGGCATGCAAATTGAAACTCATGTAAAAAATATATAATAATTGTTAAATATTATTTTTTAAATTTTTTATTGTAATTACTTGCTTTTTAAGTTTGATATGTTTTATTAAAACAATAACTCATTCATTTTTTTTCAATTCATTTTTTCTTTTTTTCTCAAATTTATTCAAGCATAGCAAGGTTAAAAAATATTACTTTTTAAATGCCTGATGTTCTTACGCTTTTTTAAGCGCAATTATTATTTTATTAAGTAATAAAATCTAATTTTAATTTATTTTATTAGTTCAAACCATTTAACTAATAAATTATTTACATGTTTACGGTTATTTTAGTATTTTTTAAGATCAGAAAGTATATTAGGAAAGTTTAGCCTTGGTATAGTTTTGTTAAACACATGCGGAGAAGAAACATTAGTTAAATTTTTTTTTTTAATTTGATAAAAGTAAAGGCCTCCTTTAAATTACAACAGACACAACAGTAATACAGTAAGCTAACTAAAAACAAGTCATAATGCCTAACAAAACTGTCATTGAAAAATGGGGGTTTAAATCCTGCGGATTTCAAATTGATGATTCAGGTGAAGTAATTTTAATATGGTGTAAAACGTTTATATAGTTTTGTATAGGTCATACTATACTACAACTTTATAATGAAAAACACCACCTCTACTACTGGAGAATTAAATGCTTATTTCTTGTATAGTTTAAACTACCAGATGTAAACTGTCAACTCATTTTGTTAAAGAATTTGCTGATTTAAACAAAATCTTTGCCTATAGCATATAAACTAAATTTGTATTTCTAAACGACGTTCTTTCTATAAGCAATCTAAAAAACCAATTAAAATGTAATAAATAAAATATGACCATTTTTTTTCTAAAAAAAAACCAACAACTTCAAAACTTAAAAAATCACTAATTCATAAATTTGCTATATACTTTTTATAATTTTTTATAATTTACTAAACAAAATTTAATTGCTACATTCTTTAAAATATTATTATCTGAAACTATGCTATTAAAAAGCAATCCTTATATAATATTTAATCATTAGAAAACAACAAATATTCTGACACTCTCACATTCTGAAACTCTCACAATCATTAGAAAACAACAAATATTCTGATACTTTAAAATTGGATATATAAGCTCTAAATATTTTAAATAAAATATTTAGAGCTTATATATATTGTCTGTTTTGCCATTCTCTTGAATTGTTTTAATTTGAGTTTAAGTAATACATTATCGTTTTTATTTTATTATTTATTTTTGGAATTTAAGTTAAGATTAGTTTTGCCATATTCATTTTAATTATTTTATTCCGAAATTAAGCAAATGTTCATTTAAATTTTATTTAGAATTAAAAAAAAACAATCTTTTGATGTTTTAATTTTAGTTATTTTATTTAGAATTAAAATAAATAGTTTGCTGTTTTTATTTTAATTGTTTTATTTTGAATCAAAATAAAACTTTGCCGTTTTTTTTTTATACATATATTTTATTTAGAATATAAATATATTTGTTTTTCAGTTTATATCTTAATTATTTATTTAAAATATAAATTAATTTTCGATGTGCCATTTTCATTAGAAATAAAAACCATTTGTTATTTTTATAGAAAAAATAACAAATGATTTGTTTTGCCATTTTAGAATTATAATAAAACTTTGTCGTTTTTTTAAAGTTATTTTATTCACAATTTAAATAAGTATTTCAAAATAATTTTGATGCTAATTAAATTTTAACTTTCTGTATTTAAAATGTTTTTGTATTAATTATTACAAAAGTTTGACTAACAACCTCTGCCGATCAAAATTGATCGACTAGATTTAATTTTAGGCAATCAAAATGTCAATTTTTCCAAAAGTAGACAATCTTTGATCATTGATCAGCCGCTATTTTGGGCACTGTGGGACCATTCCTTAGTTTTAACTGCCATACTTGATGATATCAATGTTAAATTAAATAAATTAAAAAAAAGATCAGTCAATTATTAAAAATTACTTGTTGTAAAACAAAAAAAATTTTAAAACTATTGATTAAAAAACATTTTTTAATAATCAATTTCAAAACTTCATTTACAAAGCAACATGTTCAGATGATTATTTTTCATTGAAGTTATAACTCTCGAGAATCGTTAGCAAAGCAAGTTAATTACCGTTGATTAAATTTTTGGCTATATAAAATCGTGATTAAATTTTTAGAATAATTATAAACGCAAACAAAGACAAATTTTATTTTTCACAACACAATGTTTTGTTTGGATACTTATTCTCTGACTGTAACTAAGATGAGACTGACCTTTTGGATGACCTTGGTGCAAAATCAATCATATGCAGACAAGGATTTAAGAGTCAAGCGTAAAATGTAGCACTCAAAGAGTTGTGTAAGCCTCATGTATTGTGGAAATGCTATTGCAGTATTCCTATGACCTATGATGGTAAATAAGTCTTAAAATGTTTATCAAGAATGGAACAGAGGTGGCCCAGGAGGCACTTGCTATGATAACACAAAGTCACACTGGTTCAATGCTAGAACCTTTAAATGCTGGTTTCTGAAAATATTTCTTCCTCACATTAGTAAGGTCATGGAACAAATGTTATCATTGTCTTTAATTGGGTTGAAGTATTTAGTGGTGTGCCACAGGGTTCAGTAATTGGACCATTCCTTTTTGTTGTTATTAATGATTTTCCAGACACAATCAAAAATGTTTCAAAGTTATATACTAATGATACCAAAATTTTATTAATAGTAAATTCAGATTTGTGTGTCAAAGAAATCCAGAATGACTTGAATAAAGCATTTGAATGGACTCAAGACTGCTTGCTGAAATTCAACATAAACAAGTGTGTTGTCATGCATTATGGCTTAACTAATAAAAACTATCCACTTTTCATTAATGGTATACAACTTCATGATTCTAAGTCTGAACGAGATCTCAGAGTTATATTTTCAACAAATCTTAAATGGAAAGATCAAGTAACTATGGCAATTGGAAAAGCAAATCAAATGCTGGGGCGAATAAAGAAATCGTTTGTAAGCTTCAATTGTCAACTTATAAAATCTCTTTATTTAACATTCATTTGTCCACTTCTTGAATTTGCAATTCCAGTTTGGTCTCCTTATATGAAAGGAGATTGTAATGTGATTGAGAAAATACAACACAGAGCAACTAAAATTGTTTCATCAATTAGCAATCTTAAATATGAAGATCGACTTATTGCTTTAGGCTTAACAACCTTAACTGAGAGAAGAAAAAGGGGAGATTTGATAGCACTATACAAACTTATACATGGTATTGACAAAACAAACATAAGAAAGTCTTTTCCACTTGTTAAAATTTCTTTAAAAGGGCATTGTTTTAAATACCACAAAGAATTCGCTAAACATCCTTCGAGGGAACATTTTCTTTTTAACAGAATTGCGAATACATGGAATTTACTTCCGATTAAAATTGTAACAGCAAAGTCTGTTAATTGTTTTAAAAGAGGTCTTGATTGCTGGCTGAACAGCAATCAAGCATAACTGCTGTCATAGTGTGTGCGACATTACACTCACTGGATTTGTCCAGTACAGCATTAACTACTATTATGATTACTATATATATATATATATATATATATATATATATATATATATATATATATATATTGTGTGTTTTTGCTTTAGTTAAGTTTTTTTTAAATTTCCTGTCCATTAATATTTTTTTTTTCTTTTTTTTAATCTATGTAAAGTACGTTTTTTGTAGTGCATTTTGAAATTTTGAAAATATGCCAAAGTCCCTGGTCAAATCGTCAAAGCAAAATATAATTTGCCTAGCCATAAAAAGATGTGCAATCGTACATCTTCTTGTGTAAGACTGGTTTGATTCGTTATAGAACCGTGAGTCTCATTGTAAAACCTGGAGAGTTGCAAGGTTTGTAATGTGGTATTTCTTTAATTTGCATTTAAAAAACTTCTTACCCATTTCCTTTATTTGGCACTGGTTTTCGACTCCACAACTCACCCTGATCTCTTCCTCCAAGATCAAGAACATAGTACAAATTGCTCATGAAGAATAAACATTAATTTAAAACTTTTACCTACTAAGAAATAATAATGCTTTAACATCATAGTTATGAAAAATAATTTCAGCAATATTAAAATCTTTATACATCATGATTAATTTGACACAAGATCTTCTAAATTTTTATCTATATAATATCTAATAAGAACAATTAAAATAAAACTGCATACATATAACACACACACACACACACACACACACACACACACACACACACACACACACACACACACAAATATATATAAATTGAAAAATCGATTTTGACATAAGTACTACAATGTAATCAAATGTATTTTAAATGTCATAATCATGTAACAAAATAAATTTTTATTCCAACAATGACTCAGACTGTTGACCTTGCTCTTGCTTGTTACACAGAAGGAATCAAAGGTGCAATTTGTCTTTTTTTTTTGCATGATGAATAAATTTTCTCCATTACTTTGATTGCGCACTCTGCGCATTGATTACTTCTGGGTATCTGTAGTATGGGTGGCTTTCGCTTCCAGTAATTTTTCAAAAATGCTTAAGTTATTAAAGTCATTTTTGTTGTACAGTTGGTCTATAAACCAATAGTCTGCCCAGCCATACAAATGGACATACTCTCTGCAGAACTGTCCTTGTTAAAGGAATTAAAATGTAGGCCAGTATCACTAGTGTAGCTCTGGAGTTTCACCTCGTATTTGGATAATTTCTGAAACCTGATCATTGAAAAATGCCCCTTTTCCTCAAACAATCGAAACACTCAAGTTAGATGAAACTAAAATGTCATATCCTCTCCAGCCTGATGTTTCGAGAATTACTTCTGTTCTGTTATCAAACTGTGTTTTCATTTGTTCATACTCCTTTAACAGTTGAGATGCAAATGGATATTCAATGTTTGGTGATTGTGTTTTACTTCTAAGTTCATCATCCATCACCAAACAGAGGATTCTATCTAATACATGGTGATGACAACTGATAAGTTAAACTGAGGTTTGTTGATGCATTTCTCTGTTGTAATATTACAACAACACTATTCTTTTTTCCAGTGTCAACGCTGGTGGTATCTGCAACAACCATCTGTACTTAACTCCATAGGTGAAATTCATAGACTTTAGAAATTTCTTGAGCAATAGTTAAAGCCCTGCCATCTACCAAGCCAAGGACATCCAATTTGATTTCTGTTCTTTCATTTTTAAGGATGACCAGCTGATAATCCATTCTGTCGATGTACTTGCCATCAAAGTGAAAGGACCAACTTTCCATATGTAACTTTTCAATCATTTCTTCCTTTAGCTTGATTGCCTCTTTGATTGTTCACTTGTAAATAACTGATTGACATGGAGTTGGATGTCAATGCCTTAACAAGCCAATTGCTTGCATATGTTAGCAGCTTTGTTGACATTCTTGTGGAGGTCACCAAGTTGACTGCAATTTTATGATGTTTTCTGCTTGGTGTAGGAGTTGTTCTTCATTGTTTTCATATTCACTGTCATCAGCCTCATAGTCAGAATCACTAAAACCAGGATAGTAAGATGATGAGTTGGATGACTTATTAAAAAGTTTTTGTCTTTTAGAAGCTGGACCGTTTCTTTACTGGCCACTTGGCCTGTAGAGTATCCTACTGTTTCTTTGCTTTCCACATGAAGATGGTATGTGCTTGTCTTTGGAAGATAACCGTGTTCCATCCACTTTAGTAATATCAATAATTTCATCAAGGGGTTCGTAGCTTCCCGCTTGACACATTCATCATAACATTTCAGTATTTTATCAAGCTTTGCTTATATAACTTGATCAGATACATGAGGAAAATTCAGTTTAATCTTCCAAAATTTAGTGACTTCTTTGGAAATTTCCGCTCCTTTCTTTCTTTGATTTATGGTCTAAGTAAATGGTAGCGTCCGATAATTAGCTTTTATGAGAGGCATACTCCAGTGAATATTCTTCTCAAGGGACCATTCTTTTTTTTTTTTACAAGAATCTTTAAATTTTACCAGATTATTGGTTCAGACATCCTTGTTCTTTTGAATGCTACTATCGCTAGGTTTGTACGACGCCATGTCTTGCTTCTATAATAACTATAAATTTAGATGAGCAGCTACATATAGTCTAAAATGTTTTAGAATATTCCACAATGTTCTAAATTGTTCTAGAATGTTTCAAAATATTTTAAATTGTTCTAGAATGATTTAAACTGTTCTAGAATGTTCTAAAGTCTCCTAAAATATTCTGTTAATTTCCAAAATGTTCTAAAGTTCTAAACACTAAGTTCTATACAAGTGATAAAATCTATAAAATGATTTGCAGGAGAGCCACACATATTAGTAGTAGCAGTAACAAGATTAAATAAATGATGAAATGTAATTTGAATTACAGGGTGACCTTTTTTATATCCGAGAAGAATTGAACATGTTTTCAATGTTTTCTAATAAAATTTCATTGATTTGACACAGGAAATTAAATCGTCACAGGAAATTATATATATATATATATATATATATATATATATATATATATATATATATATATATATATATATATATATATATATATATACATATATATATATATTTATATAATATATATATATATATATATATATATATATATATATAAATATATTTAAATATATATATATATATATATATATATATATATATATATATATATATATATATATATATATATATAATATATATATATATATATATATATATATATATATATATATACACACACACATAAAGTCTTTTAACTATTTAAAATACTAAAAATGCAATTGATTACTTTTTTTTTTACATATTTTTATACACTTCTACATGGGCACAATTAGTTGCATGAAGCACATAAAAACAACACTTGATTTTTTGCCGTGTTTGCAGAAGCATAGGCTCATCAATTGTGGTACTTGACATCAGTAATCCTTTGCTTTAGGTCAATAATGTCCCTTAAATGCATTTGATACACGAAATCTTTAACATAGCTCCATAGAAAGAAGTCCAGGGGAGTGATATCTGAAGAATATGGCAGGATAGAAATTGGTCTATCTCTTTCGATCCACCAGTCTGGAAATGTTTGATTGAGGAACGCACAAACATGCAGCCCCCAAAATGGTTGTGCACCATCTTGCTGAAAAATGATGGTTGGTTGAAAGTCATTAAGTTGTGGCTCCACTTATTCAGTTAAAGGGTCAAGATAAACATTTGCAGTAATTGATGTTTTGTGGAAGAAAAATTTACCAATTATTTAATTGCACATGATTCCAAAACACACATTTACATTCACCTTTGGGCTATTACACTTAATTTCTCTAGTCATGTGGGAATTGTCATTGGATTTATAAACGCACAATCGCAAGTTTTTGTGTAGGATCTTGTGCTCTATTGAATGGGGTACCTGAAACTGTGTGGCAGCAGTATGGATGGACTTTGTTGGAGAACAAGAAAAGGATTATCTTACACAATCTATATTTTCATGAGATATTTTTGGTTGCCTACTCCTTCCTTTATCTAATTCTGTCCCTGTCTCCATAAATTTCTTGTGTCATGCACAAATTAATAGACATGACATTGGACTCTTCCGTATTTGGTAATGCAGTTTCGCTGAGTCTGCCTATCTGATTGTGTTTCCATGAACCATGAGACACATTTTACTTTCTCTTGAGGGGTGGTCATTTTATGTGGGTTGGAAATGCAATGTTGTGAAAAACTTTGGTGAACGCTCAATGCAATCGAACAAATCTATATAAAATATCTAATCAAGTGCATTGGTAATAATATATATATATATATATATATATATATATATATATATGTATGTATGTATGTATATATATATATATATATATATATATATATATATATATATATATATATATATATATATTATTACAAATGCACTTGATTAGATATTTTATATAGATTTGCTCTATTGCATTGAGTGTTTACTAAAGTTTTTTATAACATTGTATTTCTGTGTTTCAGGGATCCTGTTTACGAAGTATATATATATATATATATATATATATATATATATATATATATATATATATATATATATATATATATATATATATATATATATATATATATATATATATATATATATATATATATATATATATATATTATATATAGTATATATAGGCGCGGATCAAAGGGGTGACCATTGTGGCTATGGCAACATAGTTTAAAGTCAGATCGATTTATTAGAAAATTTATTTAATGTTAATCAAAGATCTCAAAATAATTATTAAATATTATTTTATATATATAATTATTATATATATTATATATGATTGAAAACGAATATAAACAATTTGAAGACTTGCGTATTATTTTTTCGTCTATGTCGTTGTTGATTAATACGTCACGCAAAATTTACATTTTTAAAATTTCGCGGTAAACATCGCATATTTTATTTCAAAAATCTCGGCAAAAGAGAGTCAAAAATACTTGTGACCTACTTGACGACACTTATCGGTAGGCTCTCTTGTCAAACCCACTGATCTCAAAATATAACCGACTGAATATAACCGACAAAATGCAACCGATATCAAAATATAGTCTCAAGTTATATTTTGAGATCAGATCAAGTTATATTTTGAGATCAACTCATTATTCCGACGCTGTCCTTAAGGTCTGAAAATGTAAAAAAACGACATACAAGAGAACTTTAGTATCATTTAAAAGAGAACTTGCCTACCCCAAACCCTCAGTCGTTATTTGCACACTCCGCTGCATATTCTCTCTCTAAAAATCATTCGGTGTATCTGTACACCGCCTATATACCCCATGTGTGGCCATGGCGCAGTGGTTAGAGCGCTTGCTTTATATGCAGGAGATCCAGGTTCGAAACGAGCCTTGGACATATTTCGCGTCACGGTGAGGAAGGAGGCGTTAACTTTCTGGTTAAATGCACCTAAATAAAAAAAAACAAAAATTTTTTTTTACACTCAACGTCGGAATGGCGGTTTGACAAGAGTGCGTTCCACACTTATCGGCTAATGGCCATAGAGATTAAATTTAACTGCAGGCAACTTCT